TACTGTGGATTCTATCTTCCTACAAAGAGCATATAAAAGTAATTTAATAATAAATAATAAAGAATAGCAAACAAAATCCAATAAATCCTTCCAATTAAGCATTCCATCCATGCTTTAAAATTCTGTGCCTAAAGGACATGAACAGTGTCCTTTGTCTTTTTCATATATTATGAAATAATGTATTTAGTTATTCCTTGGATTTAAATGAGTTTCAACTAAGCAATAGTGTGTGTCCAGGGGGTGGGATCTGTGCTTGTGCTGTCAGAACAGTCTGAGGATATTGCATTCCAAACCCCCAGATTTGCAGCACGGAGGAGTCGATTATTTTTATAGGAAACCTATATTGAAAAATAAGTTACATGCATGAAAGCTACCCATCACTGAGGATCCAAGAGTTAACATTCACAGGGCCTCAGGATAGTTTTGTAAAAGCTGTTCTGTTTCCTAGATTAAAATAACTAGTTAAGATCAGAGCATTTTAAGATCAGCTAATATAGTCTGGTTTTAATCTCCTTCTTATAAAATGCTGTCTTGTATGCCTAAAAACATATTTCATTCCAAGCGCTAGCAAATTAGAATAGGAGGACGGAAGGTGGAAGTGTGTGGGGGTCCAGAGAAGCAGGAGAACCAGTTTTATGATGCCTGTGGACAAGCTTTGTCATTAATGTTCCTCATTGCCCTGTCTCTGATTTCTCATGTCCACTCTCACTACAGTAGTGGAGGGGCTAGCTATCAGACATGACATTATCCTAAGACGTTAGTAAATGCAATTACACGTGAAATAGTCTGAAAACATGCTGTTCTTCCATGTTGCTAGCAACGCTTGCCCCTGGTAATGTGAATTTGAGAAAGTGCACTTCAACATCAGGACCCTTGTGTGTCCCCTACTGTGTTGAATACTTGAGGCTAATGTGGTGCCCCATTCACTGTGATCTACACTCTTCCTATATTGATTTTATTATCAGTAGTAGTAATCATCAACATCATTACCAGCCAATTACACAAACACATCTAAGCTAGGTAGCCAACATTATCTTCTACTATCTGTCATTTTGTAATGAAGCTGAGCATCCCCTTGGCCAATTAAGGGTAGCTACATATTTTGATGTAGTAGACTTAAACACAAGAATATTGAATTATGTAGTAGGTAATTACTTACATATGTTGGTAGTAAGGCAGAATGAGGGTAATTTGAGTGTAATCTGTTTCGTATTCTCTTTGAAAACTGCATTAGAGAAGGTTAACTGCTTAAAAAAATAGATCCAGGCATGCTTGTGGATTGAATAAAATAGTAGTTATTTTCTACTGTCATAATAGGTCTGGAATAGGCTAGTGGATTTGCCATGCAATTCTCCACGGTTCCAGGTGGATTATTTGATATATATAAAATCACATTAACTCTGGAAGTAACTCAACATTTATATTCTGTGATTAGATCTTTGTCACATGGCTATGCCTAACCATCAGGAATAAGGTTTGTGTTCTGTCTAAGGAAGAAGCAGAAAGCCTGGGCTTTGCTGCATGGTAGCAATTTCTTCCATAAAACCTCAAAGCAGGGTTTGCTCTATTTCTGTATGTAATGATTACTTCCTTTGCATTAGTGTCATGTGGGACTTTTACCAGCCTAGCCTCACTTTTCCTCTTCTGTTGCAGAATGCCAGATGTCTTTAAATACCTAGATCTGAGTCTTCTTACCTCTTAGACTTGCCCGTGTTAGCACTTGAAGAATGAAATATGTGAACTTTCTTTGTAAACTTTTTAAAGTTAACAAACTTATAATTGTTTTAGCAGTTTAAATTGTTGATACATAAGCTAGAATTAAAGTATCAGTGCCAAAAATGCTGTTTCTTAGTTTAACATTGTTATAGACCAAAAAATATGGGAATTATTTACCTAATTTTAAGGGGAGCATTATTAGAGCAATCAGATCTCAGCCCTTTGTCCCTTGCATGCCTAGTTCCATAATGTCATCTGTCATCATTTTTATAAGACATGTCAAGTCTATGACATCTCCAGTTGCAGGTAATTGGCTCAGTTTTACAGTACCAGTCATGAATTCCTTCCTACTGAGTGGTATGTTAGTCCAATTAGACAACAATTGGGTACCACTCAATCTACAAGTACATCTATTTCACCATTGTGGATTTTTTTGCCAGCTCAGTCATTATTGTGTTTCACAGAATTTTCAGCTGGGTAGAACTACTGACTACCCCTCTCCATTGGAAACACGTGTTTATAGCCTGTTTTGATACTGTGAGGGTCCGTCCTTGGTCATTTCCAGATGGAATACATCTTGTGCCAGAATTGTATTTTGTCTTCACCAAAGGTCCAGTTTCTTACCTTCAAATTAAGGAAACCAGGGCAATGGCAACATCCTACAGAGTCTGGGGAGTCAAGAGCAAGAGTGGAGATTTCTCTTGAAATTATATTTAATTTAAATCATACAATGTTATTAAAAATGATATCATTCTTTAATTAAAACAAATACATGAAAGCAAAATTTAACTGTTATTGAAAAAGAATCCTAGATAAATGGTAAAGTTTCTTATTACACCATTCTAGGTAATTTATGTTGCTTATACAAGGAAATATAAAATGTGAGCAGTATCATTTAGGTGTGTTCTAAACAATCATTGCTGATAGAAAAAGGAAGAAATTGGGGTTAGTTATATTAGCCATGATTGATCCTGTATCATAGCTAAATCAAAATCCCTAGGCTAACACATTGCGTTTTATTTCCTTTTGAGAAAAAAATGAAGTGCCACATTCAGGACTGGTTTTTATTGCCAACAGTATACACAGCAGCTAGACAATATTCACCTGTAGTCTAATTTTGGTACATGAAAAAGGTATAAATAAAATTACCAAAATTGCTTCTACTCTGACCACCTTATATTGTTCATAAAGAAAAATATTTTTCACAAAAATACCAAAAAACAAACCAATACTAAAAACAAAAGCAAACAGTGAGGGGCTACAAAGATGGCTTGATAGTTAGCAGCACTGTCTGTTCTTCCATAGGATCTGTGTTTAATTCCCATCATTCAAATGGTAGCTACCAGCTATCTGTATGTAAATCCAGTTCTAGGGCATCCAATGTCCTGTTCTGGGCTCTGTTGACACAAAGCACATATGTGGTACAGACACACGTGGAGGCAAAATACACACACAAACACACACAAGTAAACAAAAATAGTGATAATAAAAATGTTAAAGAACATTGTAGAATTTAAATAAGAGGGTGAATAGGATTTGGCTGCTCTCGGATTTACTTTGTTTTATTTTTATACTAAAAGTCTGTGTGTATGCAATTATTGTCTTAGTGGCCATCAGTGTTAGAAGGCTTAACTAAGCTTCTTCTAGAGCTCTTTCAAGTCATCCATGACAGTTACACTCTCAAAATTTACCTAATCATCTCCCATCTCTGAGACCATCACACTAAGTATTAGTTCCTAACATAATACCTTTAGAAGACATCAGTATTCAGACCACAGCAATAATTAATGTTAAAAAAACAAGTCTAGTAAAATTATGTTGCTAATACAGTTGAGACATAAAGGCCAAGATCATCATCTGAAGTACTATTAGGTACAGAGCTTCAGTTTTACGTTTATATGCAATCTATGGGGGATTCAAAACATACATGCCCTTCTGGTTCCCTTTTTCCATAGAACCCCCTTAAGTTATAGATGAAATGTACTCAGACAACTTCTTAAAGCTTGGTTTCAGAATGCACTAAATGATGTTGTCTGTGGGCTGGCTCTATGGCTCAATGGGTAAAGTGCTTGGAATGTAAACTTGCAGATCTGTGTTCAGTAACTCTGGCCTTCCCCTTTTCATCTAAAGAGTTTGCTGCTGCAGCACATATGTATTGCCCCACAGTGCACATCTGAGAGGGAAGGAGGCCAAGGCAGGTTTGCTGCAAACTCATGAGCCAAATGGCCTAGCATTTGCAGAGGTGAACAAGAGAGAACTGGTTTCAACAAGATAGAAGATGAAGGACTGATGCCCAAAGATGTCCCCTAACCTCCACATATACACGGTGGCATGCACACATCTGCATTAACATACCACACTCCAATACGTACAAATGCACTGTATTGGCTGCTTTTGTGTGACAAGTTGACACAAGCTAGAGGCTACAGAGGAAGGAATCTCAGCTGAGGAAATGCCTCCATGCGATCCAGCTGTAAGGCATTGTCTCAATTAGTGATTAACAGGGGAGGACCCAGCCTATGGTGGGTGGTGTCATCCTTGGGTTGTTGGTACTGGTTCTACAAGAAGTGGTCTAAGCAAACCATGAGAAGCAAATCAGTAAGCAGCATCTCTCCATGGCCTCTACATCAGCTTCTGACTCCAGGATCCTGCCCTGTTTGAGTTCCTGTCCTGACTTCATTCAGTGATGAACAACAATCCTAAAGTGTAACCCAAATAAACCCTTTCCTCCTCTCTTTGCTTTTTGGTCATGGTGTTTCATTGCAGCAATAGAAACCCTAACTAAGATACATATATATCACATGCAATTAAACTGTTTATATTGTTATATGGCATGTACATTTAAATCATAAATTGGTACTTTAGTTTAGTTATCCTTTATATAGCAATGCGAGCTAAAATTTCATTACATGGAACTACAAAAACCACAAAATAGTGTTCAATTACTTTCAATTACCTGTTATCCCTGGAGTTTCTGTCAAAGAAATACCTATTGGCTCACTTCAAATTCCATGGTTCTCTCGTTTACAATAACACATTCTGATGTGTTCCCATTCTTGCAAAATTCTAACTCTGTGTCTCTGTGTGTATTACACGGCTCGGCATCCTAACAAGCATTGTTTTTTTTTAAGTGAGTAATTTTATTTTCATATCACTGTGTCTTTCTTCAGACTGTGATGAGTCTTGCTTTCTGTCTTTTATTTGCATGAGTAAAATCTTCACTTTTGCATCATTGTGGCTCTTCTAGGCATCTAATTAACATTAACTTCCTTTTGACCATGCAGGGCAGGCTTTTTGCCTCAGAACATTCCCCTAGAGATTATCAGATACCTGTCTGAGGAGAAGGATTTTCTTCCTTGGCACGCTGCCAGCCGAGCACTTTATCCTCTGGATAAATTACTGGACCGTATGGAGAACTACAATGTCTTCAACGTAAAAATATATAATTTCTTCTTTCTAATTTTCAGGAGATAAACTGTTTTCTCATTATGCACTCTGTGCAACTGAATCTGAATTATTTCATTTCTCCTTGCTAGTGTAGGCTGTTATTTTTGCCCTGATTTTCTATGCAGTACTGATGGCAGTTATTTGAAAAAAGGGAATTTAACACAAGCTACCTTTTATTCTGGCCTAAAAGTGTCAATTAAGCTTAAGTGCTCCAGAATTTATGGAAGAATGTACAAGGCAAATCCATAAGTTCAAACTTACTTCCTGAGAGCTAAAGGTCTCTGTGTTCACAAAGGACTTAACTTGAGTAGTGGGATCCCAGGAAACTTAACAGAATATAGACAGTTTCAGAAAAGATTCTTAGTCATTATTTTTATCCAAAAAGGCATGGTGAATCCAATGAACCTCCTTAATTAACAAGGATAAGATCAACATTGAGGCAAAAGCCCATTCATAATTGGGTCCAAGGGGATACAGGGCAGCAAACAATAGATAATCCAGGCAGACACGGAGGCATGACACACATTCCAAAATGGTACCTGACCAGATTTTTTTACGCTCAAATCCCAGGAAACCAAAAATGCACTACCAACAGCACCTAAGCAGATTCAATGGTCAGTTTGAATAATATCAGGATTAAGTAGAGCTAATGAACTTTTGATTCTTCGATTTCTTATCATGGTTGCTTTAGTGCAGTATACAGTTTTCTGTAGCTATTTTAGGAACCTGAAATTATTCTGTGCTTTATGATATAATGACTCTGTAAATTAACATACATAATCGAAATTATTCAAGGATGGTTTGTCAGTGATTTGATATGTTATTAGAGCCATCTAGGTTGTCTGATGTTCATCACAGTTGCCTCCTTTTTTCTTACCCCAAGGCTTCATGAAAGTGACTGTCAATTTACATTTTAAAATGAGAATAATCATGGCTTGCCTGTTCATTGTTGTTAGTTTTGCATAAACCCTTAGCAACAGACAAGCAAAGAAATGTGTCATTTGAGTTAGGGGATAATATTTGTCTGCTAGGAAAAAGTCTTATATTTCCATTTCTCCCTAACAAAGAGATGCTGAACTATGAAACTCCTAAAAAGGCAAAGTACATTCTTGTGTATGTTTATACTTTTGAATAGTATATCATGTTAGATTCCTCTTACAGTAAAAGTTAAAAGACATTTTTGCTGTAATTTTAGTACTTTCATTCCTTAGACAAAAATCTAAGATTACATTGAAGTGTGGGAGAGCATATTTTACATCGGCATTGATATTTAAATGCATCGTTAGTTGAATAGATTTTTGAATTTGTGATACTATATCACATTATGGAAATGTTATGTACATCTTCTCTTCCACAATACTAGCCTGTTGACTGGGCCACTATAATAGCTTTTCACTGAATATCCTCTATTGATTCAAAATGCACAAATATTAGATATTTCAGTTAAAGAACGTAGCTCAGAAGTTGAAACTGCTTGCTGCTCTTCCAGAAGAACCCAGTTCAATTTCCAGCACCTGAGTCTGGCAGCTCACAATCAACTATAACTCCATCTACAGCAGATCAGTTGCCCTTTTCTGGCCCCTATACCTATGCCATGTACTCACACAAGCACACACGTATCTAAACAGTAAATAAAAGTAAAATCTTAAAAAGTACATTAGATGCTGATTTTCTTAACATGTAGCTGCATGTGGTTACACATATGTATGCATGAATCTCAGCCAGAATAGTTCCCATTTCCCTTACTTCATTAAAATTTGTCATGCAAAATATTTAGCACTGCAAGTTATTCGATTAGAAGAAAAAAAATACTGTTTTCTAAGTCTTACATACTAAGTTGAATAAAGATATAAGAGAATATTACTATAAGTTACTCAGATTTCATTTTTAAATTATCAAGTTTGGAAAGATTAAACTAATATCTTGTTTTCTCTCACTCTCCATGTAGGAATACATTTTAAAACAAGTTGCAACAACGTATATCAAGCTTGGATGGCCAAAAAATAACTTCAATGGATCTCTCGTTCAAGCATCCTACCAACACGAGTACTATTTTATTTTATTGTTCTCCTCTTTTCCCAGAGCTGTACAAAAACAGACTTCTGGTACTCTGCCTTAATCAGCATGAGACTGCCTTTCTCTCATTCTGCATTTTGCTTTTCACTTTCCTGGGAGGACTGCAGCTGAGCAACAAAGTTGTTGCTGCCTGATCTTGAGAACAAAGCAGTTCATGACTGTGTTTTAATTCATGATCTGCCTGTGTTGTGCTGTTGGGATCAGAAACTTTGCCCTTGACTAGAGGTTTATCTCCAGTAAAGACTTAGTGTGCATAACTCCCATTCATCCTAATTCATTTTATTTTCTCAGCAATATAGGAGTTCTGTATCTAAACCTATATCTGCATTATATTTTACTTACCTGCCATATTATTTACTTTCTCCAGTGCTATAACAAAATACTTGCTAAAGGAAACAAGGTTTATTTAGTACAATATATTTTGATCTTGTTTTCTCCTCCTCAATACCTCCCTGATACTCTCCACTTCCTTACATACCCAACTTCAAGTTCTTTCTCTTCTGTCTCTAAAAATCCAAAACAAAACAAAATGAAAAACAAGCAAACAAAACCCAGTAAGAAAGAAAAAAATACCAAATGATATAAAAAAAGTCATATAAGAAAACAGTCATGGAATCAGTTTGGTAATGGCCAACTAAACCTTGACATGGAGTCTATCCTAGAGTATGGCTTACATACAGTGACACTCAACTGGAGAACATTAATTTTCCCTTCCCTAAAGGTACCAATGGTAAAAGTTCTATGGTTAAGGTAAATTTCGTGTTTGCTTTTCCTTCTCAGTGATGGGATTTTGTCTGATTTGAACCTGTGCAGGTCTTTGAAATATTGTAACAGCCTCTGTGAGTTCATATGTATCAGTTCTCTGTAAAAGTGGGGTTTATTTGATCCCTGTTTACTAGGAAACATTCTGTGTGACACAGTGTGTGGTGGTGGGAGAGCAAGATGTCCTATTATGTCATCATGTCATCGACGAAGAGAGATGAATTCTACTGGATTCTTCTTTTCCCCTGTAGAAGCTCTAGACCCCTTTTAATGGAATGGTGAATATGCATATTCACAATGGGTCTTGCTTCTTCAGAAAAGTATCTCTGAAGCAGAAGATATATTCAGAGATATTTCTCCATGGTAATTTTAAATCTGGTCAAGTTGACAATGGATTTTAAACATCATACCTGTAATTGCCCTCTGTCTATTGCTCTTTCTCCCATGTATCGATCATCTGTCCAACCACTTGAAATTAACTTCTCTGACTTTCTTCAGAGAGTAACATTTCTTTTAATGTTTTCCCCTTCTAACAATGCATAGGGAACTACGGAGAGAAGTGATAATGTTGGCATGTAGCTTCGGGAACAAACACTGTCACCAGCAGGCATCGACACTTATTTCAGATTGGATTTCCAGCAACAGAAACAGGTGAGTCAGAGCACATCCTGTACTCCTGGTTGCATTTAATGTACATCCTGTACTTCCGGTAGCATTCAGTGATGCTTCAGATCTAGGTGGACACATGTCTCTCATCAAATGGAGAAAAGCAAGACAAGAAAAATACACCTGCAAATCTTTGTCTCAGTTTCACTTGGTGCAAGATGGCAGCCAGGGAGCTATACCACACTCATCCTGGGAATTTTAGATTTTAAACTGACTTTCCTAGTCTAGGTTCTCATTCTTCAAATATGTGAGGTATCAATTTGTATTAAGTCTGGTACCTTTCTTATAAGAAAAACAATTAAATCCAATTGAAACTCTACAAGGTTTTCATAAAGGTTGAAGCATTTATTCACAGTCACCATGATATATTATCAACAAATTAGCAGAACCAATCTTCAAATGAAAAAGTAAAAACAGAAAGGTTATAGGAAAGATCTTTGCTCTTTGAGTACCCCTTGACAGTGACCTTAGCTTGTATCTTAAAATTTTATGATGCATAATTTTAATACAAAATGGATAATTAAAATTATTTAAGAAAACATTTTAAAGTAAAAACAGCATTGCACTAAATGCCATATTTTAATAAGAGTGATATCTATATCTATCTATTATATATATATATATATATATATGTCTTATTGACCACACACACAAACACACATCTTACACATGTAAAGACACTTCTTTGTATTTATAGAACTCTTAATTATCCATATATATATATATACATATACATGTACATATATATATATATATATGCCTTTTAGACTACACACACACACACACACACACACACAGGTTCCATTTTTTCTCTGCTTTCTGGCTTTCATGATTGTCTACAATCTCATGGTAAGGGAAGAGGAACTAATAGGCAATATGCAGAGAGAATGATGTTTTGCATGACATTACAAGCTTGTCTCTGATATAGATGATAAACTCACTGATAAACATATAGAACTATAGGCAGTATTGCTTGCTTCAGGGAAAAACTTATAATTGTCCCAGTAGCAATTAGACACTTAAATTTAGTATCTTTCTGAGTCCAAATCAAGGAATTACAAATCTATTTAAATTTAAGGTTCTAAGAAAAATCCTTCACTACAGTGTTTAGTAATTTTTTAATGTTTCTTACTTTATGTAATAGTTTCCCACTTGCCCTGTAAATGAATCATTGCTGGCCCTTTCCTGTTAGCTGTCAATTGATCCATCATGCATTTAAGTCAATGGTTAAATGTCGTCTGTCTTTTCTAGCAATAATGTGTCATCCTTTTTTAGTTTCCCACTGTTAGCACCAATTGTCCTTTGTACTGTCTTCTTACGACTGTATTATAGAACTGGACACATTGTAAGATGTATTTTCCTGTTGTCACCACCTACTTTCAGTTTTGTCCCATGCAATTAGAACACAAAAGTATTTATCCCTCATATAAAATGTAAAATTGGGACACATGTTTTACAAACATAAGGGAAAAAGGATGAATAATAGTAATTAATAATTATAAATTATTTCCTCTACTTCCTTATCTTTTATTTTTACTTTGTTTCCTTATTTATTTATTTATTGGCTACAAACACATGTTCTTTCTTAGAACTGCTAATTATTTTTAATCTTTCAAAGAACCTGCTCATGTAAACATATTTTCTTACCATTTTATTAATATTTGGCTCATAACACTGTATCATCACAATTTCCCAAAGAGCATTCAGGCTTACCATCTATATTTAAAAAGTGTAATTTTTTAAAAGGCCCTAATTTTAAAATAATTCACTGACTTTACAAACTTATTAAGAAACCTCATATTATGCAAGCTTTTGTATCAGCTGGTAGCTGGAAAGCAAATAGAAAAGGTGATCTCATAATTAATAATGCCTAGTTCTAATAATAATAATATAGTGTGGCAGTGGTGTTCTATGAAATTATAGTTTAATTTTTCTCAAAATAAATGTGAGCACAAGAGTTAGGGAGGTCATGGCAAAGGAGGAGATTCCTGTTTCGAAGAAGTTCTTTCTCTCCCCTGAGGCATGAGTAAGACAGTTTTAGTGAAACTGGCCTGGACTAGAGCCAACAGTGGCTGTGGGCTAGAGTGTAAGGCAGGAGGATGGGATTCCAAGTGACACACACAGGATGCTAACTAGTTTAATAAATATAGTATTTTTCATTCACAAGCTTTTGTAATCTATTACTTCCATAATTCCCTTATAAATAAAAGTTTATGCATAGTGTGTCAGCTCATTTTGGTCTTGATAATTCTGCCTTTATTTGTGGTAGAAGTGATGACTTGATGCCAAACATTTTATGATTCTTTTATCCCTTTCTTCATTGCTTTTATGTTGTCTTATTTGCTTAAAATTGTATTGGGACATGCAGATATGCTAAGTGGAATTTACTGCTTACTTAGATTTACTTAACCAACTCTGTGGTATGCCCCACAGTGGTTTAATGAAGCAAGGGCAGATGATAGCCGCCTACCTATTGTATGTGGAAATCAGAGGTTGTCTCTCAATTTTTCATATGAGAGCTTAGCCGTAGAACAACACCACAAAGGATGGTTGATAGTTGATAGCTGGTGCTAAGTTTAACTTTCTTAAATTAACAATAAAGGAAGGAGCAGGCTTGCTTTACTTAGCTTTCTCCCCCACACCCTTTGTTTGAGTCTCTAACTGGAACCTTAAAAGGAGAGACTTACAAGAAATTATCTAAGGGAAAAGCACTGGAAGCCACATAAATAATAGTGAAGCATGCTAGAAGATGTATATTTATGCTGAAAACATAAAGAACAATGACTCAAGAAGTAGTGAAGCTAACAGATCTTATGGGCTGCCACAGCGCTGTTCAGCATCTTGACACATTGGGCAGATGGGCAAATCAAATACATTAGAATCGGGAAAATGCAACAGATGTGAACGTCAGTGCACAAGGAGGGATAATGGAAACAAACATTGCAGTGGGTAGCTAGTGATGATGGCAGCGGGGAGAAAAATGTAGGAGTTACAATTGGTGATAAATTGGCAGAGTCGACATTCTGATCCCTTTTAAAATATTCAAATGCTACAGTGTGTTGGATTGTAATGGTGATGTCATGCATGAAAATGGCTTGAGCTACAGTCAGGTCTTGTTAGGTTGCAATTTTCAGGCTAAGTTCAGCTGAGTGCCACGATTCAGAAAGGAAACAAATGGCCCAGACTTCAGTAGAGAACAATAAAAATGATAGAAAGATCTGGAAAATATGAACCAGGAGAGAGCTTCTGAGACCTGGAAACCTGAGAAAAAAAAAGAAAAAATAGAAAAACCATTTTTTAAAATTAATATATAAAAGCATATACTGGGGTTAGAAAGTAGTTTTCTCTCATTTGCTGATAGATAAGAAATAGAAGTTTCACTGAGTCAAGTATAGAGTACATCCTGCTACTGCAGTTTAGTTTCTATTTGACAATCTCTATAGTGGCACACAGTGAGTTTATACAGTTGGTCACATAGGGATAGGGATCATAACTTTTTTCTAATAAATTTAGACTGAAATGAAACATGTTCCCATAGTAATGTATTATTTTCAAAAAGCATTAGAGGACACAACAATCTTTTAAGTTCATAGTGAGTGTAGTGATATTTAACATGGATATTGTTGGACTGCACAGCCCTATGATGTAAGCTGACCCAGTAGCACCTGTCTGTTATACATATTCACTGTGATATCCTTTCCAGTAGAGAATTCTGAGAAGTGTACAGATTAATTCAGCATATAAAAGTATTACTTAATAGATAACGGTATCCTTTTCCAACACATAAACCTTTATATGTGATAGCATGCTTCTATAACTCCAGTTCTGGAGAGGCAGAGGCAGGCGACTGATTAGAACTTGCTAGTCAACAACCCTAGCGTGTTTGGTGAGCTCCAGGCTCATTAAGAGAATCTCTCTCAAAAATTAAGGCAGGAAATCCCTGAGAACTCTACCTCATGTTATCCTCTGTTTCCATACAAACACACACACTCACACTCACACATATGCATTTTTATACACACACTCACAAACATGCATTTTTACACATATACATGCACAGACATACTCTCACACACATACTCTGAATTAGAATAGGACCTTCTACAGAATGAAGGTCTATTGAGCTGAAATAATTTTGAAATTCCTTTTGGACTCAAAAAGTCAAATAGAAGAACCTCCCTGGAGTTTTATGAGTTTAATTCACAAACTTCACTGTTCATGTAATTATTCATAATGTCATAAATGTACCATTAATGTCGCTCAAAATTCTACATTTACCTTACTTTTAATGTTTGTTACATTTCAGACAGAGACTGCTAGGTTTTGTGTATAATCTTACTATTTTTATTTTAATTTTTCCCAAGGAAAATGTAGGTCTTGCAGAGATGTTCTGTAACTTGCCATCCTGATCAGTGGATGGATAGGGCTACCTAGTCCTACCAGCCTGATACTTACCCCTATTACATTTGTTTCATTGTATGTCAAATTGGCATATATAATTTGCCAGGAATGGCTTAAATACTGAAAAATAAATGTGTAATGTAAGAGCTCTACAGTAGAAGTTATCAGTAACCAAGAAGTATTACTCTATGAGCTTTAAGGCCTGAAGCTTCAAAAGCATCTGCAACACCCAGGGACTTCAGCCTTTGGCACCACATCTACATTTTCTTGTTCAGTTGGTAGCATGGGATCTATGAGTTTGTATTTATGACATGATCCCAGGTAATGACAGCACAGCTGCTGTGGAAAGTGCACTTTGGGAACTGCTGATGCAAGCATAGCTAACTCTCCATAGTAAAGGACATTTGTGATCAAGCTGAGGCTGTTCAACTAGAAAACCTTGACAAGCTTCCTTAGCTTTCTTGTCAGATAAGCCATGATCATCTATCTGATCAACTGCTCAGGCAAGGAGAGATCAAGAAGAGACTGCCTATCTGCTTTCAGATACCCAACCTGCAGATGACATTAAAAAACAACAGAAACCA